TATGGGGCTGGCGCCCTACTCCTTTGAGCCACAGGTGCCGCCCCAATAAAATTTTAAATAAATACTTAAATTTGTATAAAAGTTGTATGGCTTAGAAAATTCAGTAATCAGGAGAGAGTAGTAGTATTTTTTCCCCCTAGAGATCAGAAAAATGAGGCTTAGAAAGGTAGTTTTTGTTATCCGATGTGTATTTGTGAGAGCTGTGACCAGAACTTAGTTAGCCCTTTTTGTCCAATGTTTCCCTGATAAACTAAGCTGGTGGTAGGTGCCAGTAAGTATATGTTGGATAGAATTCAGTCTCTTCCTGGAGTCTTCAGTTCTGTTGCTAGTAAGGGTAAGTTTTCAGATTTTACAGAATATCAAGCTTTTCTCCCCTATTCAGGTTTTAAGCAGTCCATTGATCCACTTTGTCAAACAGGGGACTTAAATTAGATGCTTTTGGGAGCCTAAATGATAGGTCTGGAAGAGGTGACTGATCTTTCTTAGAGGAGTCAGGGGGAGGAGTTAGACTATAACTACATCCAAGTAGTAGGAGCAAGGCATGAGGTCATATAAAGAGAGGCTGGGCAAGAACTGGCCTTTGGCAGGAACAGGGATCAATCTATTTAGACTATAGCACTGGATTGAAAAGTATAATTAACTCTATTTCTAAGGCCTGGCTGGGCACTTGACATTGTTTCCTAGGCTAGACCAGTGGTGTAATGATAGCCCACCAGAGAGGAGAGACCAGCAAAGATCCGGGAAAATCAAATTGTAGTTAATCTATTAATCTAATTAAGTAGAACAATTATTGAATTCCTTGTTGACTCTTATTTGTTTAGCAAGAGGTTTTTGAAATTGAAATAATATACTATTCTTTTTTTTTAGACATAGTCTCACTATGTCTTTAGTAGAGTGCTGTGGCATCACAGCTCACAGCATCTTCAAACTCTTAGGCTTAAGCTATTCTCTTGCCTCAGCCTCCCACATAGCTGGGACTACAGGTGCCCGCCACAATGCCTGGCTGTTTTTTTGTGGCAGTTGTCATTGTTGTTTAGCAGGCCTGCGCCAGGCTCAAATTGGCCAGCTGTGGTGTATGTGGCTGGCACCCTACTCACTACCTACAGGTGCTGAGACATGAAATTGAAATAATGTACCATTCTAACCCTTTAGCTCAGAACATATGCTAACTACAGAGGGCAATTCAGTTTAAATTGGCCTTTAAATCAGTTTAAGAAATGATACTACTTCTAGGCTAGGGTGACCAGACGTCCCACTTTTCAACAATTTGTCCCGCACCCCGCGACGTTTTAAAAAAGTCCCAATTTTTGGAAAGAATGCACAAACGGGTGGGAGAACAAGAAGGGAATGTACGGTTTTTGGCTGCCCTGTGGCTATTTCACCAGAATATGAGTTTTATATTATTTTCATTAATTTTATAATGTTAAACTGTAATAATAACAAATAATTTCTGAGAAGTGATTATCGAGAACTGCTTATCAAAGTTTTCATTGTTGTTAGGCCCTGCCCCCCCCCATGTTGTTCCATCTTACCGATGTTAAAATCTGGTCGCCCTATTCTAGGCTGACTTTAAAGATAGTGCAGTGGTTCTCAACCAGAATTATGTGGACAGCTTACTAAAACACATTGCTGGGCCCCACTCCTAGAGCTTTCTGTTTTAGTAGGTTGGGGCTAGGATCCGAGATTTTGCATTTCTAACAAGCTTTCGGATTGATGTTAATATGGGTGCTGTTGGTCGTGAGATCACATTTTGAGACCCACTGATCTAGGACAAAAGGATGAAGCAGGTGTAGCTGTTTAATTTCTTCTGATTTAGGTCTTCACAGAGGAAGGAAAGGGAACTGACACTTAAGTCTCTACCCTGTCAGGACTCTGCCAGATGATTTATAATCATTTTACTCAACCCTTGAAACCACTCACTGAAGCAGTCGTCAACCCCATTGCCCCCGAACATAATAGCAGTTAAAAACTTGCTGAATAATTTTTTCTTCAGGAATAGCTTTTACTTATAACTTAAAGAGTAGAGTTTGCATATGCCATTGCAAATGTGGTTTTATTTAATGCAGACGATATGTTAAATTCCATTACTAGTATGTATTAATTACTCTTGTTGGTTTATGAGAAATATAAAATGTAGATTAATTTAGCAATAATGATTATACAATAGATGGAATTAAATGTTGAGTTATGCTTTCTCATAAGAATCATAAATAAATGAGAGTGTGACTTTAAGATTCAGTATAATAGGCTCAGTGCCTGTGGCTCAAGCGGCTAAGGCACCAGCCACATACACCTAAGGTGGCGGGTTCAAATCCCCAGCCCGGGCCCGCCAAACAACAATGATGGCTGC